TTACCTACTTCGCTCTTTTCGTCGGAAAGGACTTTTCCTACATTTCGGTCCTTTCTGACGATTCTGATTTTTCTAGCGGGTCACCCTTATTTGGTTAGCCGTGTCACGTGTCACGTGACTTAGCCGGATAACAATATGTTTACCAAAGTTTTATTTAAAAGATAACGTTTTAGATGTTAAAGCAAATTTGGGAAACATTTTTAGTTTGATGCAGGGATCAGAGAAGATAAATCATCGACAAACAAGGAATCGCTTGTGCTACGTATTGGAATTGATATTAAAGATTTAGATTTATCAAAACTTGATTTTGTCAAGGATAAAAAAATTATAGCATATTCCAAGCGTCTTAGTGGATCTGCTACTGATGTTACCTTAAAATCGCTAGTAAATTATTCTAAGTCGAATAAAGAGTATCTAATATGATAAGTGTCAATTTCTTAATAACTAATGCCTTAGTTGTAACTAAGATCCTATTGTATTCATCATTATCTAAATTTCTACAGGAACCCTGTTATTGGAATAATTATTGCACTGTGTTGTCATCAGCTATGTCAGTACCATATGTATCCGAACCATCAATATCTTAAAAATATTGGAATTACAAAAGATGATTTCCAGAGAATATGTACTATGAGTAGTTGGGCTATTTGTGGGCAAAGACCCAAATATCATGACAAAATTAATAATGATGACGATGATCATGTTTATGATAATTCAGCAGAAGCGGACGATGATGATAAGTAAGCAAATAATAAAGTCACTGTAATGTTTAAACATTAAATGGTTCCTAATTTCTCTCAAATTATAGAATACATTATTCAGGTCTAGATCATTCGTCAAGAGAAACTTTAGGTTATAAATGTAAACGTATACTAGATTACGGTCGTCTCAAATATTTACAAGAAAATGGCTTTGACATAGAATTGATTTACTATGTAGAACCATCAACTTTAGAAAATTTGGCACTAATGGCCGTTCCAAAAAAAGATTAACATCTCAAAACATTAATTATTTTGAAAATCTTCATGAAAAGAAAGTTTTTACACTCTATCGAATGTAACAAAGGAATTCCTACGGTGCGTTGACATTATTCGTTCTCAATAATAAATGGCATTTACATAACTAAGTTTCACTATCGATTTCGTGCTCAGCTATTGTATACTTTGTAATCCTAAACAAATGCTCAAAAGTTCAATACCTATATACTCTATACAGAAACCTGAATATCTTAATGTGCATTAACTACATATATAGTAACTATATAGTAACCATATATTAAGTTTAACAGTTACGTACTATATAGTTGCTATGCAGTTACTGTGCATTAAGAAATGTACGTGATTTACAGCTTATATAAATAAAAACGAACTGATAATGCCTACCCATATAATTGGCGATTTTTACATCCATCAATCATTTGAAAATGATTTCAATACTTTATGCTGCGTAGATTGGTGCATAGATGGATATTTCCTGCTGCATTAATGACATTTAAGAATTTATCCTCATACAGTCGCAATTATGATAACCACTAAGTAAACTTGCACTTCGTGTAGAAGAATAAATTACCACTATTTTTAAATATGAAATTTAGCAAGTATCTTTAAATTATCTCGAAGATACAGTTGATATTGTCTATTGCTGTATTGCGTGCTATTCGTTTGAGATTTTAGATGGTATATACATTTAGACCATAAAACCCAATCTTGTTAATAATCAAAAATTATCATTTTTATATATTTATAGAGTAAACGGCATGCGCAAACTGTAATTTTTTCGGCAACTTTATAACACGGTATAGTATTCGTAATAGATTGAAAATCAATTACCACAACACTGTTAACAGAAATTTTCTATTATGTAGCCATGTTCTAAATTAATTTTTCAAATACAATATACTTTATACTAAATTTAAATTAAAATCTCTAAATTTATTGGAGCTCAATGAAAGTTATCTATGGCGCATACAAGAACCACAGAAATCATTTATTCTTAAACAGGATTATGTCGCTGCATGCTAATGACTTTTATTTTATTTCACTAAGGAAGATGTAATCATACACCCATCTCCTCGTTTAATATATTAGCAAATATTGTCGCATCGGGTTCCGGAAATGGAATCAAATTCTCATAGGTTTGGGATTTTAAAATTTCTAATAAATTGCTTTTTTTTTTTAAAAAAAAAAAAAAGACGTAAAAGATTTAGCATTGGTTAATTGCTTTTAATGTTATTAAAAAAACGGTTCATGGAACAAAACCTGGTTGAACTATAAACTAGATATCCCTTATTTTCAAGTTCTATAGCAAGTTCTGCTTGATGATTATCCATTAAATCTTCATTTACTACTACTATCAAAGGTTTATTTAATCGAAGTGATTCTAAGATTGACCCTGATCCTGTTTATTTCATACAAATTTGGTTTTTTTATTATTTATTAATATTTGATTTGATAAATGAAACGAAACTATATACCAGCATGACTTATTATCAAATCGGACTCTAACATATCTTGATCCAATGAAGATTTATAATCGTATCCAACAATTTGTATTTTGTTTTGAACATTGGAATCAATTTGTATTTTCATCGCCTCATTATATAGGCTTCACAACTTTTCCCATATTGTATGTTTAATTTTGTATATCCTAGGGGCTTTAAGATTTGAAAACTCGCTGATGATATTAAAAGTCTAATTATTTGATCAAATCCTGTTGAACCAACAGTAACGAACACGGTTTTATCATTCTTTGCCATATTTAATGAGGTTAACGTTTACCAAATCATACTCGATAACCAATATTTTAAGAAAATCACGTTTAAAATTTAACGTACCAATAACAATAACAGATAAAGATCTATTATTGGTATAACCTGTTTGATCAACATAAGTCAGCCAATCACATGACTATTTTTCTATGATTTTGCAGCAAAATATAACTTACAGCATTTAAAAAGTAGGAGACATCGACAAAAATTTTATTATGTAAATCAAATACTTTAAAAGTTAAATTATGTAAAAGAATGCCTACTTTATATGATAGTATAATTATCGGTTATCTCATTTTTTGCAAAAATGCCATAAGCCGTGTTTTTGTTTGCCGGTCTCCATATTAATCTTGGTGATTGGTTAATTTATCCATCTTTTCTAGCATGTTGATCGGACGGTAATACAAACTCTTAAAAAAAAAATGCATCTCCGCAACCCGCATACTCGTATATAGATTAAAAGTGCACAACAGGTTTCTTAGAAGTTAAGGAAGATTATTTATATTGTACATATTGTTGAGGATAAAAGCGGAATTGCTCAATTTACTAGTTTAAGGATTTAAAATCCAAACCTTGGGTTCGAACCTCAAATTTAGTGAAAGAAAAATACAAACACAACGTAATAAAATATTTTTTGTTGAGGATAAAAGCAGAGTTGTTTACTTTACTAGTTTAAAATTTTAAACCCCAAATCTTGGGTTCGAATCCATTTACAACCTCAAATTTAGCAAAATAAAAACACTAACGCAATGTAATAATGAATACACCACCTGGTTTATCTAAGTAAACTTTTCATGTGTGTCCGAAAATTCTCGCAGGAAAGACATTTGAGGTGGTGGCGTGAATTGATCGTTTCTATACTTAAAATCAACTGTGATCTTTTCAACCCGCTCCTGTTATTGCGGAGAGTGAAATTTATAAACAAAAATATATAATTACAAGCTTGAAGAAACATGCCATATACCTCGAGAGCAATAAAATGGCTTATCGCGAATTCCGCTAATGGGATCGCATTCTTGTTTACAACTATTAAAATGTAAATACTTTAACAGTGGTTCACATTCTAGTTCCTTTGAAAGCTTCGCTAAATCCAAATCAATTTCTTCAAGATCGTCTTCAAAATCTTGATTATC